CTATCGGTCGGCCTCGAAGAGATTCTGGCAAACTGTCCGGCGCCTCAGGAGGGGGAAGCAGTTCTTTGCCAACACCGTGTACGGTGCGGGGGGTGAGCTGCTGACCTCGACCGGGGATATTGTCGGACGGTGGAAGGAATACTTTGAGGTTCTCCTCAATCCCCCCGTCACGTCCTCCCCTCCGGAGGCAGAGGCTGAGGATGTTGGGGCGGATACTTCTGTCACCCTGGCAGAGGTCACCAAGGTGGTTGGCAGCCTCCTTGGTGGCAAGGCGCCGGGAGTGGATGAGATCCGTCCTGACTATCTAAAGTCTCTGAATGTTGTAGGACTGTCTTGGCTGACACGTCTCTGCAACATCGCGTGGCGATTGGGGGCGGTGCCAATGGAGTGGCAGACCGGGGTGGTGGTCCCTCTCTACAAGAAGGGGGACCGGAGGGTGTGTTCCAATTATCGTGGGATCACACTCCTCAGCCTCCCTGGTAAGGTTTACTCCAAGGTACTGGAGAGGAGGTTACGGCCGATGGTCGAATCTCGGATTCAGGAGGAGCAGTGTGGTTTTCGTCCCGGCCGTGGAACACTGGACCAGCTCTACACTCTCCATCGGATACTCGAGGGTTCATGGGAGTTCGCCCAACCTGTCCACATGTGCTTTGTGGATTTGGAGAAGGCGTTCGACCGTGTTCCCCGGGGTGTCCTTTGGGGGGTCCTCCGTGAGTACGGGGTCCGGGGTCCTCTGCTGAGGGCCGTCCGGTCCCTGTATGACCGGAGCCAGAGCTGCGTGCGCGTTGCCGGCAGTAAGTCAGACCTGTTCCCGGTGCATGTTGGCCTCCGCCAGGGCTGCCCTTTGTCACCGGTTCTGTTCACTGTATTCATGGACAGAATTTCTAGGCGCAGCCAAGGGTCGGAGGGGGTCTGGTTCGGGGACCACAGGATTTCATCTCTGCTGTTTGCAGACGATGTTGTCCTGTTGGCTCCAACGAACCAGGACCTACAACATGCACTGGGACGGTTTGCAGCCGAGTGTGAAGCGGCTGGGATGAGAATCAGCACCTCCAAATCTGAGGCCATGGTGCTCGACCGGAAAAAGGTGCCTTGCCCTCTCCGGGTGGGTGGAGAGGCCCTTCCTCAAGTGGAGGTGTTCAAGTATCTCGGGGTCTTGTTCACGAGTGAGGGAAGGATGGAGCGTGAGATTGACAGGCGGATCGGTGCAGCGTGCGCAGTGATGCGGTCGCTGTATCGGACAGTTGTGGTAAAGAGGGAGCTGAGCCAAAAGGCAAAGCTCTCAATTTACCGGTCAATCTTCGTCCCCTCCCTCACCTATGGTCATGAGCTTTGGGTAATGACCGAAAGAACAAGATCGCGGATACAAGCGGTCGAAATGAGCTTCCTCCGCAGAGTGGCTGGGCGCTCCCTTAGAGCAGTGTTTTTCAACCACTGTGCCGCGGCACACTAGTGTGCCGTATGATATTGTCTGGTGTGCCGTGAGAAATTCGTCTACTTTGTCTAAAAATAACTGCATTCGCTGTTGACGAGCGGTGACTTGTTTTGAACTGTGAAGTAACCATGTAATACTTTTTCAAATCAGTAGATGGCAGCAGATAGCTAAGTACTTTGAAACTGAAAAATTGGATGCGACCACTGGCTGTAACAGGTAGTGGGAGCATTGTGGCGAGAAAGGTAAAATTGGATGCGACCAACAAATGTGGGAGGGAGCGAGACAAGAGCTTTGTGGCGAGTGAGAAGTAAAAGTGATAGAGACGTTTTTGAAAATGAATTATGCCGTTTCTGAACATGATTAACATCCTCCGCTCTGCCCCGGGGCAGCTGTGGCCGCGTTGTAGTGGTTTAACTATGAAATGTACAATTTTTGTACAACAGCTCTCGCGAACGCACTTCTGAACTGGGTACCGAGCGCAGACCATAGTCGAGTGGACAGAACCATAGACATGCGGACCGGACAGAACCATGGACTCGCGTTCAGGACCTCCCGTGTCCCTCATCCAAAACTCCTGAATTTAAAGCTCGGATACCTAAATTTTTCCCATGCACTAACAATGCATGTTCTTTGTGTGAGTTATTATTTGACTATTTGGGCAGAGAGTGGATTTTCTTAGTTTTTTTCCACACAGTTAGTGCCACTTTATTCCCAAACTCTTGTTAATTATATCGAGAAATATTAAATAAAGCTTAATGTCAAGGCCTGGACTTAAGCATTTTGATGAGAATAACTGTATATTGTGAATATAGGCTACAGAGTATACTGTATACATTATAAGATAAGATATACTTTATATATCACACAGAGTATGTACAGTATATATTTTTTTACATTAGTACTGTATACATTTTTACATTTTCTCCTGGAGGTGTGCCGCAAGATTTTTTCAGTGAAAAAAGTGTGCCTTGGCTCAAAAAAGGTTGAAAAACACTGCCTTAGAGATAGGGTGAGGAGCTCAGTCACACGGGAGGAGCTCGGAGTAGAACCGCTGCTACTCCACGTCGAGAGGAACCAGTTGAGGTGGCTTGGGCATCTGTTCCGGATGCCTCCTGGACGCCTCCCTGGGGAGGTGTTCCGGGCATGTCCCACCGGGAGGAGGCCCCGGGGAAGACCCAGGACACGCTGGAGGGACTATGTCTCTCAGCTGGCCTGGGAACGCCTTGGAGTCCCCCCGGACGAGCTGGAGGAGGTGTGTGTGGATAGGGAAGTCTGGGCGTCTCTGCTTAGACTGCTGCCCCCGCGACCCGGCAACGGATGAAGCGGAAGAAAATGGATGGATGGATAAACATCTCAAGGAGCACTGTGCAAGCAATTATATTGAAATGGAAGGAGTATCAGACCACTGCAAATCTACCAAGACCCGGCCGTCCCTCCAAACTTTCATCTCAAACAAGGAGAAGACTGATCAGATATGCAGCCAAGAGGCCCATGATCACTCTGGATGAACTGCAGATAACTACAGCTGAGGTGGGGATGGTGTGTTCAGGGTGATGAGCTGTGTTGCTTTTACGCCAAACATATCGTTTTGCATTGTGGCCAAAAAGTTTGATTTTGGTTTCATCTGACCAGAGCACCTTCTTCCACATGTTTGGTGTGTCTCCCAGGTGGCTTGTGGCAAACTTTAAACAAGACTTTTTATGGATATCTTTGAGAAATGGCCACTCTTCCATAAAGGCCAGATTTGTGCAGTGCACGACTGATTGTTGTCCCATGTACAGACTCTCCCACCTCAGCTGTAGTTATCTGCAGTTCATCCAGAGTGATCATGGGCCTCTTGTCTGCATCTCTGATCAGTCTTCTCCTTGTTTGAGATGAAAGTTTGGAGGGACGGCCGGGTCTTGGTAGATTTGCAGTGGTCTGATACTCCTTCCATTTCAATATAATTGCTTGCACAGTGCTCTTTGTGATGTTTAAAGGTTGGGAAATCTTTTTGTATCCAAATCCGGCTTTAAACTTCTCCACAACAGTATCTCGGACCTGCCTGGTGTGTTCCTTTGTCTTCATGGTTCTCTCTGCGCTTTAAACAGAACCTTGAGACTATCAAAGAGCAGGTGCATTTATACTGAGACTTGATTACACACAGGTGCATTCTTTTTATCATCATCAGTCATTTAGGACAACATTGGATCATTCAAAGATCCTCACTGAACTTCTGGACTGAGTTTGCTGCACTGAAAGTAAAGGGGCCGAATAATATTGCACGCCCCACTTTTCAGTTTTTTATTTGTTAAAAAAGTTTAAATTATCCAATACATTTCGTTCCACTTCACAATTGTGTCCCACTTGTTGTTGATTCATGACAAAAAATTAAAATTTTATATCTTTATGTTTGAAGACTGAAATGTGGCGAAATGTTGAAAGGTTCAAGGGGGCCGAATACTTTCGCAAGGCACTGTAAGTCTCGGCATCTCTGCTTAGACTGCAGCCACGGCGAATGGATAAAGTTGAAGAAAATGGTTAGATGGGTTTTGAGTGCAGATACATTTCCCGATGTATGGTCAAAATGTTTAGACCTCAATATCTGGAAAATCAATATGCAGATGTAATGTTCTATAAGGGGAAGATTTATACATTAGAACATGGCCAATAGAAAAAGACTAACATGTCACTAATATATTTTGGTGCGAGGCCATGGAGAGACTTGTACACAAGCAGAGCTGTTTTAAAGTCTATTCTCTGAGCCACAGGAAGCCAGTGCAGAGACCCTGAGAACTGGACTAATGTGGTCGTACTTCCTGGTTCTAGTCAGGACTCGAGCTGGTGCATTTTGAATGTACTGCAGCTGTTTTACAGCCTGTTTGGACAGACCTGTGAGCAGGCCACTGCAGTAGTCTAACCTACTGGAGACAAATGCATGGATAAGAATCTCCAAGTCTGCTTTAGACACTATGTTTTTGATCCTGGCAATGTTTTTTAGATGGTAAAAATCTGCTGATGTTACTGATTTGATGTGGCTATTAAAATTTAAGTCTGAGTCCAGTATTACCCCTAGATTACTGACCTTGTTTGAAGGTTTTAGGGAGAGAGACTGTAGGTGACAGATGACGCTCTCTCTTTGTTTCTGGGGACCAAAGACGATAATTTCAGTTTCTATCTGTCTGCCACTGCACAAAACAAAGCGATGTGTTATTTTGAAGTGTTATTTTTCTGCAAAGAAATAATGATGCTGTAGCCTGGCTCCCTATGGCTGTGGAGAACCTTCTTTGTCGCAGCTTCCTCTTTGCTCTGTATGAGATTCTCTGTGGGTGGTGTTTCCTGCTCATAGTGTGTTATGTTTCATATTCTAGGTTAAATAAAAGGCATCAACCACTCTGAATGACTGATAACAAATGATTTTGCATTGGTCACAGAAACCGATATTAATGGGGAAGGTGATGCAAATTTGAACACATATTTCTCACTGGACCATTTACCACAGCCCTTGCTTTTGCTCTTTCTTGTGAAATATGAATCTTATTTTGACAAATCTGAGTCTTCGAATGTATTTCTGCTCCTTTTTTAGGCTTCAAGTGCCCAGTCTGCTCCAAGTTTGTGACGTCTGATGAGATGGATCTGCACCTCGTCTTGTGTCTAACAAAGCCTAGAGTCACCTACAACGGTAAGAAGCTGATAAACAATATGAAAGTATTATAATGATACAGTATACTCACGGGTTGATCCACCAAAAACACATCTTGATCAACAAGTCACACTATGGATTCAATATATTTCGAGCGTCCTAGAATGAGGGAGAATGTGCTTCCTAGTCGTGTGATCAGACTTCCTGACTTGTGGTCTATGTTTTTGTCTGATGTCCTCAATTATCCTTGCTGGAAAAGGTTGGATCCAACTAAATCAAGTTGGTTGGCAGGACAAAAAACCTTCTGAAAACCTGATGTTAAGATTATTAGTTTAGTTTTGTTTCCTTTTTTATAGTTTGTCACATATACATTACATGCAGTGAAATTCTTATATATATTCTTATGTAAATTAGGTAAATATTACACACTAAGAATAGTTTTTTTCAGTTGATCCAATCTAGACATGAACCGGTATAAGTTGGAAAGAGGAGGTTAGGCAAAGAATCAATGATGCAAAGAACATCAGACCTTTAATGTGTGGACCAACAACGTACTGTATGGACAGAATCTCTGTGTAATCGAATTATTGTACAGGGTTTATCCAGCGTCTGTTTGTGTCTCCTTTAATAGGATCCACAGTTTTTCCGATTAACCAATAGAAACATGGCACCACAAGAAGATTACAGTGTACACGTCAGCATTTACAGCGGTCAAAAGGTCTAGCTCTTCTTGCATTCTTGGCCTAAGTTTGGACAATTGTCAACGTCTTATTGACTGACTGGCTTGTGACACTGTGTAGGAGGCCTCATAAAATCACGCTTTCGGGATATGTGTTGTAATAACTGGTCCATTCACTTCACTGTGGTCTCTATAATGACAGACTGATTGAACTCACAGGGTCTGCATCTAAAAGCCAGTGTACTGTCCTTGTTACGCCTGACGCCAAAGTCAAATTCAATCTCGTAAAACCACTTTACTGGAGATAATTTCCCAGGTGTGACCCAAGCACAGTTAATACACTTGCACACACGCTCTATCCATTTTCATAAGAACAAAAACAAGTCGTACATCGCTCGAACTGGAGATAAACTTCCACAATTATAGACTACGACGTTTGTATAAAGCAGATGTGATATTTCTCCAGGGACGTTTTGGAGAGCCCAGCCTTTGAATTACTGTCTGAATGAGCTCTATCAGATCTGGCCTCACCTTCTGTTATACATAAAACTACATGACCTTTACTCAGTCTGGACTTTTATAGCCGATCATTCCAGAAGCAGCGCTCTTATAACATTTGCATGACTCCTGGACCCAGTTTCACACTCACAAAAGAGGCCGCTGCAGTGATGGTTGTTAACATTATAAGAAGCAAGTGAGGGTGATGTCTGCAACTTCAGTTTTGTATAATTCATAAATGAATACATATTTTTGACCATATGACCCGGTAGTATCATCTATATGAAGTATTTTTCATAATGGCGAGGGGCCTCTGCTGTTTTTCAAGGATTTTGATCCATTGAATCCAATCAGGAGCCTGTGGGGACGGGTCTTACTGGTGCTTTCATTAAAAAAAAACATCTCTCCATCTTCACGGTTTGGGAAGTAACTAACATTCACTTAGGATTGTCGGTACATTCTGTAGTTTCTCTACTGTTCCATTTACAATAATAGAAGCTATGAATTAAATTGCAGGTTATGGTAAAATAGTATAACAACAGAATGAACGATAATGATGAATACAACCAAAATCTATATATTTAATTAACTGATTTAACATACAGTATTTTCTCTTCCTTCTCTCACTATATTAATAATGTGGATTTAAGGGCTTGGAGCAGATTTTTTTTATGGGTATTCATCTGTGACCGAAAAAAGGTTAAGGTTGTATTGGCACCAAAAATCATTATTTTGTGGTCATTCCAAGCCTTTTTTTTGGCTGGTGCATTCTGGGAGAAGAGGCTGCAGAATGTTACTGGGCAGTTTGGCCTCATGCACGAACAAAAACTGATCACATTTAATCATCATGCACACGTCCTATTTTAATTTTCACTCTCTGCTTTTGATAGAGTTTAGTGACCTACAAATACAGACTAAGGCATGGAATATAACTGAAAAGGAACAATTCATTTCAACTCTTTTTTTTTTTCTTCTTGTATAGCCCTAAATCACAACAGTAATTATCTCAGAGGACTTTACAAAACTGTTGAGTTCGCCAACACAGATCAGAGAATCAAACAGTTCAAACACAAAGAATAGAGAACACATAAGTATTGGTCCATAGGGGGAGTTGACCAATGTCCATAAGTGTTAAAAATGTCCAAAATTGTTGAGTTTGTTGGATCATCACCACCGTCAGTCCTTTTAGTTGCTGCATCGGCAAGGAAAACCTCTAGGAGACTTGAACCGAATCCCAGGCATTGTTCAAGTAGGGCTATACAAGAATAAATTGTTTTGTAATTGTAATGTTTAGTGGTATAAAAAGAATACAGTAGAATTGGTTCCGTAGCCAATTCAAAATACCATCAATTCTATTCGAGTGGAGGTGAATTGTTGCACAAAAGCATGTCGTCTTTATCATACAGTCATGTGATCCAGGACGTTTCACTCAGCACATGTGCCGACAACGTGTGAACAATGTTCCTTCACCGTTTCATTTTGCAGCTCAAAAACTTAAAACCTTGCATTTAACACCATGGCGACTGTAACCTCAGGCCGTTTCCTCTAAAATGACTACGTCGACCGCTCAAATGAAGCCAGGGGAGATAGCAGCTCAATGTTGCTCTTCAACCAATATAGCTGGGCCAAGTTCCTGTGACACTTCCTGTTTTGTAGTCACGTGAAGCTGTGTCTAGGTTCATTTCATCAGCCCGTTTGTTGCGCAAGCGTGTGCGGAATGAAGCCAGTCAATATGAGGCAACATCTGGAGGCGATAATGGAGCAAGTGGTTCTGTAATGAATGGTCTTCTCACAGCTGTGGCGTTTGTTTTGTCATAGATCGTGATGCAAGTATTTACAATCTTAACATTCTGAGGGTTCTTGCTTTGAGTGAAGAATTACGGTACGCATAAAGTTCAAGTGATGCAGCCAAGACTCAGCATTAGTCCTCCTCCTGTAACACTGTCTGTAAAGCCTGAACCATCGTGCTTCGGCCACGGTTTTATGAGTCGCTTTGAAGGTTGAGTTTGTATTTTATTCAAATGCATTATTCTCAATTGGAACATTATTTGACTCTGTGACTTTCATGTTTCAAAGGCATGTATTTCTTTTGTTCTACCGTGCCTTAAAATGGCAGCTGCCTCCAATTGAATGTGTTGTTGTAAAGCTCTAAATCACAAATCGCAGTCGTCTTGGAGGATTTAAAAAGATGTGTGTTCCTCAAAAACAAATCAGAGAATCACACAGAATACAATAATAACTAAGACACAAGAACCATAGGCAGTGGGATGACCATAAATTTAACACATTCGCCACTGACAAACTATCGACGATACGTTTTAGATGTTTGCTAAAAAGTCACTCAAACATGCATGAGCCAATCCAAAGCCAACTTTCTAACTCTTATTAAGGGTCTCGATGCACTTACCAAAAGTTTTACTGTACTTCCATTGTTCCATTTGCTAGGAACACAAAGTTCCTAGCTCATTATATTTTTTGGATCTCTGCTCCTATGGTACTAAAAGCAGACTTACCGATGCAATAACTGCAAGTGAATACTCTAGCCCATGAATCCATGTACTTGTGTGTAAGGAGCCAACACAAACTGTACAGAGCAGATATGGCACCAATGATAAGCAAAATTCACAAACATCTGCTTCTCTGATGGGAGACAGGCCTAAGATTGTGTTTTTGTTTTTGTTTTTTTCATCAAATACTAAAAAATGGGGGGAAAAACATCAGAATTTACTAAGGCTCAATTTTACTATGAGACAACTGAGACCTCTGTACAACTATAGAGATAGTTTTGGTATATGGAAAAAAAAAACCTGTTTGTCTATTTGTCGACTTTGACATCTACTGGTTTGTCCCAGATACACAGATGTGGGATTGATTAGATACATGTTAATTTTTGTTCTGTATAATTGTGTGCTGCGTCCCCTTCTGTCCTTGTGTGAACTGCGCGGTGACAGAGGATGGTGTAAAGTCGCGCCGTAAGCAGCTGATCTCATGATAATGTGTTAAATCCTCTGAATGTGTGTTCCCAGCTGCTCCTCCGGGCATCGTGTCTTTATTATACTCACCCTCTCTCCGGCTCTTCTACTGATTATGTTCCTATAGTTTTTTATTTAAGGTGAAAAAACTGATTTCATTAAGCAATTGATACTTTATTATACTAAAGAGACGTCATACCTACTTCTTCTTATGCTAATGTCAGATTTTTGCTTCTTCATAATGTTAAAGTTGGAGATATTAGATTTGTCTCCTTATGATGCTAAGGCTAGTGATTTTATAATTGCTTCTTTTATGCTAAAGTTGGAAAAAATATATATATAAAGTTATTATTCATGTGGCTAGTGTTGTGGGACGAATAAAGAATCTGTAGATAATTAAAAAAAACACCTATAGGAACATTTTAGAAATGGGGGTATCCTGGAGAAATGTCTGGTGTTGCGGGAGGCTGAGCGTGAATAAGCGTTTTTAGTGTGAGTTTGTGTTTTTGGGTGTGAACAAAAGTATGACTGAGACCGTTGTGTGTGGGTGGTTCTGTTGGGCGATCGAGTTGATTGGTCACTGTTTTTAATAATCTGTAAAACACTTTGCTGCATCTTTGTATGAAATCGCAGTGCAAAGAGAGATTGATTGATTGAAGAGGTGTGTGTACGTGTGTGTGTGTGTGTGTGTGTGTGTAGGTGTGTGTGTGTGCGTGTGCAGAAAAGGCATAATTTCTCACCTCTAGATCGAATGTGTGATTTTAGCAAAGCTCACTCAACAGTTTGAAGGCTGCGGTAAACAAAGATATTTATTCAAAATGCAAAACCAGAAAATCGTCCCTTCAGTTTGTCCAAGTAAAGGCCTGAAAGACTCTGCAAAGTTACTGCAA